TGCACGTAATAGGTAAAGAGTGGGGATAGATAGTTACAGATAGTAGCTGAATATGTGAACTCGTGACAATTACTCCCATCACGCGTTACCAAGTGATAGCGCAAATCGGAGTTCGGCTAAACTCGACTCAGTACGGCTGAGCTTGGTATAACAACGAGGATATGTCCGTCCTTCTTGCGTTCGACAACTTTCCATCGCATCGAAAACAAGCGAGACAGATGTTTCGTGCTGAGCCGAGGTTAGCCGAACGTAGCCGAACGTGCTCGAACCTCAATGTGAGTCACTCATAGTCGCAGACTTACGTTTTTTCCATCGAGACGTTTTGAGAACAATACAATTGTAAGATCTTACAATAAAAATGATATGAATAAGATATATTCTCTGTATTCTCTGATAAGTACTTACTTCATTTGTATAATCTAACATAATTTAAATATGAGTTTTGATATATTAACAACATAAAGAAATGCCACACTATTTCTTTCTCTTATATTTTTTGCTCTATATCGTTGACAATATTTGAACAGAAAAACGTTTAATAAACTATTCAACGTTGAATGTATCTCTGAATTACGTAGTTGTAGTTATTCAAGTAATTTTAAATTTCAATAAAAACAAATAGAAAAAATAGACGCCAGAAGAGCTAGATAGAGCTTTATATCTACTTTTTTATATTTTTCTCTGTCTCGCTTAATAAGATGATAAAAAGAGAAAAACGTTTTTTAAGGTTCGACGAAATCTTAGAATATACATAAATGGAAGAGGAATTGAGATGATAGAATTATAGCACCATAAAACATCATTTTGATTATTATTCCCTACTTAATGCTTGCCTTCTGCGTCAACACACATTACTGTACAGCAGGGATTCGCAACTGGCGGCCCGCGATGTCTAAGTTTGAATCCGCAAAAAAAACGAAAAAGAAAGGGAATCGACTTTATCTCACCTCCATGTGGTGATTCCTGGATAATTCGAAGAGAAGACAAAAAATATAAATTTTAAATTTTACTGGTGGCCCGCGGTATATAACTTCAAATTTTATATTTGGCCCGTCAAAAAATTTAATTAATATGCATCATGCGCTTCATTCGTAACGCATCCTAGCACGTCTCGACGTTATCTAATGTTTATAAACAATATCCATCAATATACAAATCAGATAGATTTTCAGGTCGGTATCTTATGCTCGCCTCCAATTTGTGTGGTTCATGTAGTGTTTTTCATTTAATATTTAGAATGTAGAATCATGTAGACTAGAACTTATATATATGAGTTTCCGATTTTCACTCAAAAATGATTTCACGTCAAAAATAACGATTAACCATAACTTTGAATAATTCACTCAGCACATAATTTCTTTTCTACGTGATTCTACATTCCAAATACTAAATAAAAAACACTACCAACAATGAGCCAAATTAAAGGCAGCTCAAAAAATAGTGTTACTGTTAGAATGGAAGAAAGATAAAAGTAAGTTACACTGTAAAGTTAAGTTACATCGGTAGAAACAAGCATTAAGCAGGCGGCACGCGATGTTTATTTTCCTATTGATTGTTAATAGCTGGATCTTGCTCGTATTGGCATCATGGAGCTTTATTACTCCATATAAGAAAAACCAGAGCTATTTAAATGAAGAGAAAAGAGTTTAATTTGCGAGCTAAGCTTTGGACAGGTCTGATTTAAAAGATTTGTTACATCACTTACATACAAAAATATTCTGCACAAGCACATTTGTGCAAGAGTGTTTTTGTAATAAATTTTAATACCGAAAAGTATGTTTATATGAAGCTAAATTGACTGATTTCTTTAAAATTTACAGAGAAAATAATTACAAATGCTCACCAAGTTTAATAGTAATATTCCTTTCTAGTTCATTTTTAAAACGAACTGTCTGTACTCCCGAAATAGCTTTCACAATCGTTGATTTTCCATGTGCTACATGTCCAATAGTTCCTATATAACAAGTTTATATATATATATATATGCATTTATCTATATTTTATAACACAAGTGATAGAAGATATATGTATAGCATTTTTAGCTTGGAATATTTTGTAGACTCACCAATATTGATTGTAGCCTGCCTACTGATTACTTCAGGCGACAATGCAGTTAATCTACTTACATCCTGTATACAAAATAAAAAAAAAAAGAACATAAATACTTTTCAGTGTAATAATGCTAGGATAAAATTAAATTCACACACAAAATCGTTATATTTAAAATACAGTGGAACTTCCACACTTCTACTACGCAGGACTATGTGTGAGATTCTCTTCCCATTCTTACATCACCTATTTTAAGGAGATCCTAAAATAAAGCCTAAACTCTGATGAAACCATTGTTTTACCGATAAAATGCGATACATTGACATATCTTTATATACCACTATCAATATTGCACTCGATGTTAAAAGTCGGTAATGAAACTGTAACTTTTCAATGTTTTTGGTATAAAAGCGATCGATTTGAACTACATTATTTATACTTTAATTATAAAGAAAGATTTAAAGCAGTTAGAAAAATACTTGTTTGGAAAAATTGATAAAACAAATTTATTTTAGGATCCCCGTAACACTTAACTTATTTTAACGCTGAACACTGAAACTATTTTTTAACACTTTTATACGTCTGTAGTTAAGGAAGTTCCACTGTATTTTGTTGATTTCTAATTTTTTTAACTTAACTTCTTGCACCATTCATCTTTCTTTTTTTTTAACATAGAGAGAAAAGGAGAAAAGATAAAATAAAACTTTTACAGTTCACATTCTGTATATTTACGATGACTATACATCTTTTATTATAAAGGACAATCCTTTTTTTTATTTTAGCTATTTTTATTTTAACTATCCTTTAAATTTATTTGTTTCTTCAAAATTTAATTTTGTCCTTTATTTTGATATTACAGGAGATTCTTTTCTAGCATTCCAATGTTTATATATATAATATTATATTAATGAGGAAATTTTTACAGAAAATATTTTACAGTTTTATGCATATAAATACAATTTTTTTGTTAATTATATTTCTTAATTTTTTAAATTAAATGTATTCAAACTAGAGTTTTCATTTTTTATTATTTCAAACCTCTTACTATTTCAAATCAAGGGTTTGTTCTAATATAGTCGAATCAGTTTCGAACTATTAGAAAACTGTGCATTATCTCAATTTGCTTATACTGTGCCGTAATATTTTATAATGCACAGATTCTTAAGTCACAGTCACAAAGTGATTCGAAAACATGTAAGAACAAAGTTCTAAAATTTTCAGATTTTCTTTATTTTTTTTTTTAAATATGATCATCGTACGTATACTATAATTTTTGGTACTTACAGTAAATAACTGAATACAGCCTTTATGTAAGTTCAGTTAAAACAACAGATATTTAAAGCTTGATCAAAAATTCCAATAACTAAAGATTAACAAAAAATTAAATAATATTCTACATATGATTAATAAAACATTAATTTCTTGTAAAATAAATATATCCAGTAAATGAGAATGGATTAAAATGGATTGAAATTTTGTCATCCGAATGCATATTTTAAATAGGGAAAATTTTTTTTAATCCAATTAAATCCAAAAAAAGTATTCGTTATTTAAAATACACATTCGGATAGAAAAAAATTTCAATCCATTTTAATCCATTCTAGTTTATTGGGATTTCAATTCATTCTCGTTTATTGGATAGACTATCATACTCACAGACCTCTCACTCTTGTGGAATATGCAAGACACTTTATTATTATAATTATTATTATAATTCAATTTTTATCCAGTTTATATTAATCCTCATTAAACTTAAAATAGGAATTGAGAGGAAAAAAGAACAAAAAATATTTAAGAACACCATGAAAAGTAAAACTGGCATCGCACTGATTAACAATTAATTTGCAAACTATCTGCACTTGAAAAATCAGACACTAATAATTTATGATTATAATAATTTATTATTAGTGTCTGATTACAGCGCGCGCATATATTACAATTTAATAATTTCCTCCCTTCCGCGTTCTTCGCATTCCTCAAATTATTTGATCCGGAAGAAAATTTTCATTGTCTCCACGCGAAAAATCAACTTACAAGACAAAAAGGCGAAAAATCTGGCGTCAAATTTTTTTTCTCTTCCTTTATCGTAAAACTGAAGAGAGAATCTGTGAGTTCAATTTGCAGTAACGAAGAATGTCGCGCACGTGGCCTATTCCAAGTCAAGCTGCGATACTCCGATCACGCGAGGTTAAAACGTAGCGCGGGACGCCAGGGGGTTTGGTATGTACCTCAAAATGAGATGAAAATTACAAAAATGGACAAATTTATTAGAATATTCACAATTTAATTAGTTAATATCGAATAAATTTACTCACGTAATTGCTTTCGTAATTTTAACCTTATTTCAGAATATATACTCGACCCCCAGATAAATGGCGCGAAAACCATAGCGTCCCCCCGAACTTACGAGCTTCGATAGATCTTGCTTGTAGAGATTCGGCTGGCCGGTGGTTATACCAAATCCTTCCTCGTTGCCCATCTTCCAAGTCTCACCAGTGATGTTGATCTTAGGATCAAGAGATGCCTCTGATCTATGAGGGCCGTTTCCTTTGTTCAGTCCTTTGGCGTCCTTCAGCGTCCTTCCGAGCCCTATCCACCCTTCAAGATCAAGCGCTTCCGGAGAAATGAACGATGGGCTTGAAATTTCCAAGCAGCTTTTCACCACTTTCCACCTCCACTGACCTCCACTTTCTTCTCCCACAAATTATCCTGCAGTATGCCCTTGTAGTCAAGCGACTATTTGTAACAGTTCTCATCGAGGGCGCTGTGGAGGACGTAGACTTGCGAAACAACATAGATGTGGATGAGCAAATTGCAGCCAGAGAATACAGCATTATTTTCCACGTGCAGATTTAATAGTACAATTAACTGAACTGTAAGTAGCTTTCCATTTACACAAATTATCAATAACTCACTTTCTATGTCGATCTTGTTGAATTGCCCATATTCATATTTTGTCCATTTTTATTTTGAGACTGTCTTAAAATGTTAATATAATTCTTTAATTGATTCATAATTTAATAATGTATTTGAGACAGTTTTTATATATATATATATATATATATAATAGATTGGTAAGGTTGATTTATGAATATCAGCCTTAGCATGCGTATACGCATGCGCATAGCTATATATACAATTTAGCAATACCCAATTAAACCCAATATTGGTTAGGATCTTTAGCAGAAACTGATTCACAATCTTAGACTATGTTTATATTTTAAGGGTCTGAGCACAAGAAGTGTTGTAACACTTGCTTGGAAACTTAAGTTATAGATGTAACATACGAACTCTTTGGTGGATGACGTGGATGACGTATGACATGTGGTGTATGGTGTATGGTGTATTTATGTAAGGCCCGTATTAATTTAAGGCTTTTTTAAATTTATCTTTAGATACTCTACGAATTATTTCATTCGTTATTGAGCATATAAAAATAAATTTAAGGAAATCTTACAAGGTCTGACTGAATACCATCATTTTGTCTTATATCGACATTGGTCTTTAGTAACGCACAAGAACTGTCTTTATAAATCAACTTTTCTGCTATGGCCCTTAGAAAAAAGATAAAGATATTCATAATAATAAGATATTACTTGCTTGTTGCTGCAAAAAAATCTCTCTCTCTCTCTGATCACTTAACAAGGGCGGCATAGTGCTGGCAATAAATATTGGAACGTAGAGTAGTCGACTTGCTTGCTATCAAAATTGTAAAATGATTCGTTTCAGATTCTTCTAATTGCTTCTAAATCTTTAAAGAATTAGAAAATGAAGATTAGGTCTCTCTAATCTTTTTCCATGATTCATCTTTCCTTCTTTTCTCCCCACGTAGGAGAAAAAAAGAGAAAAAAATGTACTGTAATGTTCAGCTAAAATAGAATTCGACCAATTCTTTGATCAAATTCCAATCTCTAATTCTCATTCTGTAATACAACGAATAAAAATATATCGAGTATTACATCAAAACTCGGATGAAAATTTTTCTTAGAATTTTTAATGTAATTTTTCATAATTTTTATATGAATTTTAGAAAGAAATAATGTAATAAGAAAGGATTTTTTTTAAGGATTAGAAAGGATCTTCAAAATAACAAAGAAATTCAAGGTTAATAAGAAGGGGATACATAAATTATTAAATTGAAATAATAATTCACTTATTTACTTTATTTAACATATGATGTCTTCTTTATTCCGAAATCTTAAACATTTAAATTCTCTTTGAGTCTTCATCAGCAAAAAATCGTACATTCGTATCTAAAATTAGTTCAGCAGTCAGCCAAGAAGTCACTCGCAGATTATCAATTCTTCCAACTGATATAACCCTCGCCACTGATAACAGCGGCGACTTTGGCGCTAGAGGAGAAACCCTCCACTTATCATAGTCCCCTCAAGTTACCAAAACTGAAATGGTTTCTCATTAGACCATAAACGTGTCATAAAGCTTTGGAATGATTCACAACGTACTAAATATCAATACACAGTTTAATTTCAATTTGTTCAACCAATAGAATTTGATTAGTTGGTCATGACAAAAGAAAAATATGTGCAATGCGCACTGTTATAATAGGCCTATTCTTTTTGGCTGAACTTTTGCACCAATTCATCTTTCTTCCTCTTCTTTCCTCCTGGCGAGAAAAAAAAGAAAGATGAACTGATGCAAAAGTTCAATCAAAAAGAAGGTCTTATAAATCTAGCGACTTTACTGTAATCTTGTATCATGTTGCTAGCGTTCCATGCGATCGAAAGTCAAAAGTTGCGAGAACAGATCACGCTATCGCACTCACTCGCTCAGTAGTGCTGACTGAGTTTAGTCGAACGTGGAGTGCTCGAAACCCAGTGCATCACTGCAGCGTTAAAATCGCTACGATCTAGACCCACTCGATAATAATTTGATTCTCTCGCGTTGATTCTCATCAATTCTCATCAGCTTTCAATTTCTTTACTATTATTATAAATTTTAGAACTTTTTAAAAAATATTTCAGATTTTTGTATACAAATTGGGACATTTTTCAGAAGTGTCAAGAAAATTTAAACACCCATCTTTTCTAGAATTCTTTTATATATAAATTTTGAAACATTTTAAAATAGTTCATTTTATAATTTATAAAAAAAATATCTTAAACTTTTTCAAATTTTATAAAATTTCATTGGAAATTATAGAATAAAAAATCAAAATCTTAGAATATTTCAGAATTCATATTCATTTAAAAGCTCATTAGAAACGGATTTATGATTATGTTGAATCTCTATTAAATTTACATATTTATATTACTAACCGAATATAATACTTTAAATATTGTTTTTATCAGATTTACATAATTTATATTATATAAATAACAGCTTACTATTATGAAACACATGATTTTGTAATCGAATTGATTTATTGAACTTGGACATATAAATATCAGATGAGTTTTTAATATTCTTGATGTTTATACACTTCAACGATTTAAACATCATCCAAGTCAATGGGAAACTTGATCTTTCGACAGTTAAAATCTGATTTGTGGAGATCGGAACCAATAAAGTTCAATTCTAGGATTTCAATGCTTTCATACAATTATTATATTATGATTATTATATATTATGAACAAAAGCATTGAAATCTTAATATTAAACTTTATCGGTTCCAGTACAAGTTAATGATTACTCCATAAATCAGACTTAACAAGATTATCTCCTCGTTATTTCTTCTTTTCCAACAACATATTCTCTTCCTATTTGCCGGCACTATAAATCGATAAACTAAATTTCTCCTCCGGAGCATTTTTAATCAAGAGCGGCAGCACCAGAAATAATTTCGATCAGTTCCCTAGTGATCACTGCTTGTCGAGTGCGGTTGAAAGTAAGAGTGAGTTTGTCGATCATCTCGCCAGCGTTCTTGCTGGCATTATCCATGGCAGTCATACGGCTGGACTGTTCGCTACAGGCACCTTCCTTCATAGAGTAAAACAGCAGCGAGGCAAGAGAAAACTCGAGATAGCTCTGTATTACCTCATCATCGAGCGAATCATACACCGACAATTTTGGCGCAGTAACTACTGCATTCTTATCGAACAATGGTAGATCATCAATCGCATACGATACCACAGACTTAAATCTGTTGTACACTATACGTCCACTGCCAAAGGAATAACTGCAAACGAATAATTATATAATATTAATTATATTATACAGTACTCCTTAATCCTTCATGGTCACACTTCTAAAAAGCCACACGATGGTTACTCTGGGTTAAAATGATCTGACTCATTTTTAAAGTGTTACCAAATCGATTATTAGTTGCAATGATTTTTAAAAAATACAGTATATAATTTCATCCTTTAAGAAAATGAAATAATGGCGTTTTTGTGAAAAATTTAATTTCAACACTAAAAAAATCGTAAACATGTACATGATATACATCGTCTTTCACACTAAATTCTAATATATGTTTACGATTTTTTTTTTAGTGTTAAAATTAAATTTTTCACAAAATGCGGATCATTTTGACCCAGTGTGATCCCATGAAGGATTAAAAAGACACGTCTTATAAGTTAGCAGAATAAAGTGAGCGGAATCGATTCTAACTAACATTTTTATTTGTTGCTCATTTGTTGCTAAAAAGTTGCCAAAGAAAAAAATTTGTTGCGCTCTGTCGGTTTATTTAAAAAAACGATGTTTTGCTAAAAAAAGGAAGATTCAGTTCCGCTAACTGAATCTTCCTTTTTAGCGAAACATTGTTTTTTTAAATAAACCGACAGAGCAACAAATAAAAATGTTTGTTAGAATCGATTCCGCTCACTTTGTTTCGCTAACTTATAAGACGTCGACTAAAGCAAGATCGGGGCTGATCCGGCCTCAGGAGCGTCCGTGACAAATACATTAGGCCCGTATCTTCCATGAAATTTTTAATTATTTAGCGAAACTTTTTTTGCTAAATAATTATTTGTGGTTATTTATACTTATTTTGCAAGCAACAAATTGCTAAATTGCATATTTCGAGAGCAACTAATTCGGACGACATCGCAGTACCAATTTTAAGCGAACAACAAATCTTTTACTGGTACTTTACTCTTCTTCCGCCCGCACGCTGAGGCTTCTCGTTGTTATTTACACTTTTTTAGTATGTAAAGTATTAAAAAAAATGATATATATATATATATTTCGGCAGCAACAAATTAGCAACAAATCAGCAACAAATTCCTACGTTATTTCTGCGTAGATTGGCTTTGTTGTAGGTATTGTTCCGCTAACTGAATCTTCCTTTTTAGCGAAACATCGTTTTTTTAAATAAACCGACAGAGCAACAAATTTTTTTCTTTGGCAACTTTTTAGCAACAAATGAGCAACAAATAAAAATGTTAGTTAGAATCGATTCCGCTCACTTTGTTCCGCTAACTTATAAGACGTTAAAAAGACATACAGTTTATATATCTAAAAGATCCATATAGTTAAGCAACAGAAAGGATCCCACACAAACTTTATGAAAATTGAATTTCAGTTGAATTGGCTGAATATTTGATATATCGTAGATCTTGTTATTATGATAAAAAGTCTCCACAAGCACGATCCCCTTCTATAAACCATTTCACCTTTACGTAGAAATGAACCTTACTCGTTGAAAATAAGATATTATAGTATTAGCCCATTTTGAAAAACGATGCCTCGTAAAGGTGAAATGGTTTATTATCATGTCTATGGACTTTATCAGGACAAGATTTATAGCATATCAAATTTTCAGCCAAGATCGAAATTCAATTTCCATAAGGTTTGTGCGGAATTCTTTAGGAAAATTTATAATCTAGCTTCAACCGTTATAGGGTTCTAATTTATCGATTATGCAAGAGAAGTTCAACTAAAAAAAACAGGCCTATTGCATTAATTAACTGTTTACTAATAATGAGTTACTCTATATTTAATATTGTATCTAGTTCTTGAGTTTGGTTAACGTACCCACTGTTCAATATCTGTATAGCTATTTTGGCAGCATCGTTGAATGTAGGTGGTTTACGGCCGACCTCAGACGCGACGAAGAGTATATTGTTCGCGAACTGCCGCTGAAGAATGGCACGAGACTTCTCGCCAATGCATATGATCTTAGTGTCCTCACGTTCCTTAGGATCAGCCAATAATCGATCACGAATGTTGCGAGATACACCAGTATGTACAGCACCGCAAAGGCCACGATCACTAGTTACAGCAATAACGAGCTTCTTCGGTTCCTCTGGCGGTGCTTGTATCTCAGCCTGCTCATAAAACACTTTTGTGCCAACACCGAGAGGACGAGCTTGCTTTAAATCACGTTCTGCTCGATTGTATTTGGCTGCTGACACCATCTTCATGGATTGAGTAATCTTTTGAATATTCTTGACAGACTTCAAACGTATAGAAATTGCCTTCAGAGTAGCCATTCCTCTTTGCTGGTGCCATTGCTCTTGCACAGCAATCCGCAAAAACATTGGCATACGGTTGCTGAGCATCATTGTTGGATTCCTAAAAAATCAAATTATCAAAAGATCACTCTATTTTCAATCAAGGACTTAGACCGGTTCGAAATAAAAATTTCGGTTCGAATAACAGTTCAATGCTAAATCCAACTTTTGGTTCCAGTTCTTTTACAGTAACAGTTACTGGGTTCATTTAGATTTCGATCTCTTTCAGTTTCGGTAATTATCCAGATAGGAAAATGTTAGCAAATATTGATAGATTGGTAGCAAATTTGATCAAAAGATGTTAACAGATTGACCTCAACTAATGTTGCATTCTGCTCCTGTTCTGTTGACATTCTATATCGATAGAATGGTGGCAGAATGCGAACAAAACACTTGTTGGCATTCTATGATTCTATTCAACAAATTGGTAGCAAAAACCGAGCAGAATCTGCGTAATACACTTTGACAGAAATCGAACAGATCCTGCTGTTTTGTAGGAATTAAAATTGTAATAATTCAAATAAAGGCTCTAATAACACAAATAACAGAGTCAATACGTAAAAATTGACTCTTACTTCCCTTTATTTATTATTTTTATTTTTATGTAAAGAGTTCTTCTATTTGTTTAATATTTTTTGTGAATATTAAACTCATACTAAAGATGATCCAAATTAGAATCGAAACGCATATTTATCTTTCATAATAAAATATATGTATTTACACACGTACTTGTGTTAGCTCTTAAAGCTTTTTTTCGATTTATTTAGAGCCTTTTCAACACATACTTGTATTGAACCTTTTATTATTTCAGATCAAGGATTTATTCAAATATAATCAAACCAGTTTCAAACTATCAGAAAAACTATACATCATCTTAACTTGATTATACTGTGCAATAAAATTTTATAATGGACAGATTCTTGACAGTTCCAAACTAGTTTGAAAACATGTAATAATAAAACCCTAAAATTTTCAGATTTATCTTTTATTTTCTTTTGATTAGTTTACATCGTGCACTTGTGATATGCTTGTGTCACACTATGTATTGGCTGCGTTCAGCAGAGAAAACAGTTTTGCAACTGTTGTAAAATTCTTTAATATGATTGGTTTATACGTTTAGATCCGTAAGCTAAGCAAAAGCAAGAACCAATCATATTGAAAAATTTTGCAACAGTTGCAAAGCTTTCTCTGCTGAACGCAGCCATTGGAGACTGAGGATTACGAATTGAGGATTAAAATTCAGCCAATTAGAACGAAACGAATTAAACTTAAAATTACCTGATTGGTCGAATTCTAATCTTTAATGCCCAATCCTCAATCTCCAATGCATAGTGTGACACAAGCAATATAGGTACTAATAGTAACTTTCTATTGAATTATCTTAATTTCGGCGATATATGTAAACATATGCATGATATGTATATTTAATTGATGCATATTGTATCAATTTAGTACATCATTCTTTAAATACATTGCTGAAATTAAAATAATTTAATAGAAAGTTACTCGTTACTACGTGTATCAAATGTCTTCTGTAAAAGGTCTAAAAAAAAGTATGATCATTGTATTTATATCGAAACATGGCTATAGTAAGTAGGACTAGCATCAGAATACAATACAAAATAATCCTCAAGTACTGAGATTGGTGGTCTGAAGCGAAAAAAAAAAAACACTTTTTTTCGCTTTGAAGTATTTCATTTGTTACATAGCTTTTGTTCAATCAGTGACACGTAAATGGTAATAGTGAATGAAGATATAGTGAGCACATGTTTTTAATCAATATCGCAGGAATTAATCTTGTAAAAGTGTTTTTACTTTAGTACTCAAAGGATAATGAGTATTAGAATAAAAATGATAAATAATCTAGTTCCACATAAAAGTAGTTTTGTCAGTAGTTGATGCAAATTACATTTCTAACGATAGTGATAAATATAATGAAATGAAGAAAGAACTGTTACATCTGCGGAGAAAAATTTCTGACATTCGGTAAGCATGTTTTATATTATCAGAAGTCCCTTCATACTTTCTCGCTCCTGGAATAAATCGTAAGACACGCGTTATGGAGTCCGATATGATCAAGTTGTAAATTTGAAATTACGATAATATATCAAGTCTGATAAATCAGAAATTCAGTTCCGAATGTAGCACAATATCGTTCCGTTTACATAATCACGAAGAGAAAACTTATGTGAGATCGGTTCGATATCAAAATGGCCAAGCTGAGCCAAGCTGGGTCTAATGTGAAAAAAACGAAGCTGCATCGTTTAAGAATGATGCAGCGAAATCGACTCACCGGCCAAAATAAAGCTCCGAAAATTAAGCTCACGAATGATTGAGAACCTTCCACAAGTCAATCAAATCAATAGATCCGCGAGATTCGTTCATCCATCAGCAGTGTTAGTTAACTCGAATGATTCTCTGACGCACATGAAGCTGATTCACATGCTGCGTAAAGCAAGAGTTTTCATTGGCTGATTATTACGCCCAGTAGGCGTTACGTTGTCGTTGCGCAACTTTTGGCGTATATATTCGATTTACTAATGCGGGGTCTACAATAGAAGTCGTAGCGGTCGTAGGGTCTTAAGTCGTAGAAAATTGACCAATCACAGTTGATTATTCTTCTCATATTCGACTGTGATTGGTCAATTTTCTACGACTTAAGACCCTACGACTGCTACGACTTCTATTGTAGACCCCGCATAACTCGACCCAACTCCTAGTCAATGGCTGCGTTCAGTAGAACGTTTGTTTTGCAACTGTTGGAAGTTTCCTTCGCGCTGATTGGATCATACTTTTAGATCTAGAAGAATGGTCCTATCTCAGCAGACAATCATAAAACGGTTGCAAAACTGTTGAGTCTGCTGAACGCAGCCAATGGCTACGTTTTCGAATATGCTATTTTCGCTATCTATAAAATATATATAAAATACGTAACAACATCCTTAGGGCATGTTCGAATTCCTACGTAGGCGTCGTACGCCTTGTCTTAAGTTGTCGTGGAAGTTCAATCAAAACCAAATTTCTACGATTTCTACGATTTTATGAAATCGAGAAGTTACCTCGACTTCTGATTGATAGTCGCGGCAATCGTAGAAATTTGATTTTGGTTGAACTTCCACGATAACTCGTCAAGACATGGCGCACGACGCCTACGACGCTTGCGACGCTACGATACGACCAATGTAGAATGGGCTCAAGTTTGTCGCGTCATAAGCTCCAACGTGCTCCAACATGCTCCTACCAGAGTTCCTACTCACTCCAACGTACTTGAGTAGGAGCATGTTGGAGCCTATTGGAGCTTGCGACGCGAACAATCTATAGTACTGAACGGAGCATGGCCTACACCGTGGGCGGTATTCATAGTCGGTTCTTATTTGAAGACCGTCTTAAATATAATAATATCTTAAGACGCTAATGCGGCTATGCTCCAACGTGCTCCAACATGCTCCTACCAGAGTTCCTACTCACTCCAACGTACTTGAGTAGGAGCATGTTGGAGCCTATTGGAGCTTGCGACGCGAACAATCTATAGTACTGAACGGAGCATGGCCTACACCGTGGGCGGTATTCATAGTCGGTTCTTATTTGAAGACCGTCTTAAATATAATAATATCTTAAGACGCTAATGCGGCTAATTGGTTCGTAACATCTCAAGACTGAACTTAAGACGGTCTTGAATATAAGAACTGACTATGAATACTGGCCCGTGTGTTTATACATAAAAGGCCGGTATTCGTAGCCGGTTCTTATTTTAAGATCGTCTTAAGTAATGTCTTAAGTCTCTAAAGCGACATCTTAAGATCGTACTTAATACGATTTTGAATATAAGATCCGACTATGTATACCGGCCATAGTATCCGATGGACCTAGAAAGAAATAGAACGATGCGACCAATAGGACAATAGTAGAAAGAGAGTTCGATCAATAGGACAATAGAAAAAGAGTTCCGTCCCAAACATTTACCTTTTTCTTTCTAGGTCAAAATGGTCAAGACGAAAGATCAAAGATATTTCGCCGCATACTCCTTTCAGGTCTGCGGAAACATCACCCGAGTAGTGCCCTCGTGCCATCATAGGTTTATTCGCGTCGCAAACTTCAACATGCTCCTCCCATAGTTCCTACTCACTCTATCATTGGAGCGCATTGGAGTGAGTAAGAGCTATGGTAGGAGCATATTGGAACATGTTGGAGCGTGCGACGCGAACAAACCTCTTATCTTTATTTAACATTGACCCCTTTTACACCGAGCACTTGATACGCGTATTAACTAGTAACTTTCTATTAAATTATTTTAATTTCAGCAATGTATTTAAAGAATGATGTACTAAATTGGTAGAATATGCATCAAAATGATTAATTAAATTAAAAGCCATTGCTTGAGATTAAGACCGGACTATGGATTCCGTCCTAGACAATTGGGTGAACAACAAGGATAAAACAATACACGAGCACTCGAGTGACGTTTTCGAACATAAATTATTACATGTTTCGTCTCTCGGATTGTGCCATTTCTCTTCAGATATATCCCTGACGGAAAAAAAATTTTACGAAAACTACAGAAAATCTACATAGATTGAGATAAAATCTTAGAAATTTCTAAATTTCTAATTTTTCGTAGATATTTGTAGTGAGACGTAGAGTGGCAGAGGATTTCTACGTTTTTTAAAGAAACAACGTCGCTCTACGTCTATCCATGAAAAACGAATATCCTACGAATATCCATGAAAAACTAATAATTTCAAAGATCGTGTCTCAATCTATGTAGTTTTCGTAAAGAGATAATATATGTAAATTAGTTACTAAAGACAAAAAAAATACACCGAATATTTGATAATTAACGATAATAAACTATAAGCCTATATGAGCCAACCATAAAATTTGTAATGTGATTAATAATTAGTTACATAAATGAACGTTTCGACCTACGGTTAAGGTCCTCTTCAATACACTGTTTTTAACAATTAATTACATATAATAACTTAACAAATTAATACGCGCTTAAACTTAATAATAAACCTCATATGTCCAAAAAAATTATTGTGATATTGTCCGAGTGCATCATTGTCATCAAATTGGAAAGTTTAATGATTGTCATAATTGCACTCATAAGTTTGTATTATTAAATGTTTCATTGGACTAATAAGTTCACTACACGGAATAAATTAAGACACATTATTTCAGTTCGGTAGATAATATTTAACTAAATTATTGATCACATTAAAAATCTTGTAGTTGGCTCATATAGGCTTATAGGTTTATTAAATTCTATTTATAAAAGAAACATTTTTCCGAATATACGTGTTTTATTATACATTTAAACGAAAATACATGCATATTTAACAAAATACAAACAGACTTACACCTGCCCAAGAAAATTTACCTGTATCTATAATATCTTATGATCGCGTCCTGGTAGAAATCTCCTCGTGATGAGAAGATTTGAAACGGGTATATATGCAGGTACATATGCAGGACGACGCATATAGCAAGATTCTTTGTTCCCTTCAATCAACGGTCTAATGGAAATTTCTTCATAGATAGTTTCAAAAATGCACATGACCCATGGGTATACGTATTTTAGAAGATTATATACCCATTTTAGATAGGTAGACTGAAGGGTACATTTTAGTTAGGTTGACTGAAGGGAACAAAGAATCTTGCTGAATGTGCTGTCCCGCATTTGTATACCTGCTGCACAATGTAGCTTCCTTAAAACTTTGAATTTCGTTCTGTAACTTTGGGAATATATTTTTCATATTTACTATACTCGATTAAAACAAAAAATTTTTTCCATTTTTTTAACCGAATACGAGTTGATCCCTTTAATCGCCTCTTAGATATGTGACGATCTGTCTTGCATTTCTTAAAGAAATTGGTTTATATAGAAATTCAGGCAAATAAAAGTATACACTGAAAAAAGAAGCGTTTAATTTTAAGATATTAAAATATTTTATTCTTGTCTCCGTTTTTTAAACATTACGTGTTTGGATTTAAAACGCATAGTGTTTTAAATTCAAACACATAGTGTGTTGTCTATTGAAGGAGTTTGAAACTGAAACATCTTTAAGTGTTTAAACAATGGAGAAAAGAATAAAACACACTTCTTTTTACAGTGTAGACGCAGATATTGTAGCGTAATATTCTTACAATTATTATTTAGTGTAGGTTCTTCATATACATAAAGATTCGTTCGTACGTTTCAACTCGGTTTAGAGTCATCTTCAGTGAATAATTAATACAAGACTTCTCTTCTTCCCATATGTACAGCCACTTAAGATTAGAAAATCCAAAGTGTTATAATTCTGTATATTATGAATTTGTTTGAATTTATAAGTGAAAGAAGAGTGTCTTCACAAAAATCCGATAAATATTATATTAATTAAAATGTGAAATTGAAATTATATCAGATATCGTATAATATGTGTGATTCGTTCAAATATAAAAGAGAGACTGTTCAATATATATAAAAGAGTCTCTCTTATACAGGGTGTCCAGCCCTATTCTTCCAATCTCCCACAGGAAGGTAGATGGAATCGAAATAAACATAAAAGTCCTTTACCGTTTAGCGATATCCGTAATAATAATCGAGATATTAAAGTTTGAAATTGTACTAATGAGAGCGCGCCTATAGAAAGGATAGAAACGGCTCCGGTCACTCGAGGTATAGCCCGGTCCAGTTTGACAAACGATGGATGCGGCGGCAGGAGATGCACGAGAGGAAGCGCGCCGTGGTTTAGCACTCGGCATCGCCGCTCACACGTCTCACCGCACCGCACCAAAGGACTCGCGCGATGGCTGTTACGCACATTCGCGATTTCATTACATATGTAATAATAACGATAAAAATTAATTAGATTTTCCGTAGATTTCCATAGGTTTCATCGCTTTCTCTCTTTCGACATTTTTATTCATCGAAGTTTATTATGGTTTGTATTTGTCCTGTTTATTATTACATATGTTATTATTACATATGTAATGAAATCGCGAATGTGCGTAGCGCATCGCGCCGTTGCTTAGCGATCGGCATCGCCGCTCACACGTCTCACCGCACCGTACCAAAGGACTCACGCGATGTTTTTTTAAGAAAGTGGAAAACCTTCAGAAAAATTCCCTGCGGCGACGGACAGTTAGGGTAATTTTCTTTACCTGCTAAATTCCTTTCCGTTAGTAAAGACAACCGAATGTGTCAGCATCATCGATATATTACCTGAAGGTCTTATTTTGGTCTAGACATCATGAGACATGTAGAGTCCGATCTTTTACCAAAACTGAATCGAAACACTCAACTACATGTTAATTTCAACCGAAACCGAGACTACAATCAAAAAATAGGAATCCTATAAAGGTCACAATGTATAGACATGCCAGGCATATATCATATACCTTTTTTTACACTAGACAGTACGTGCGGCTGCACGTCCGTTTAAAGCACGATATCGATTGAATTATCTTTACTCGATAATAACTATTTCAGTTATCAGTAAGCACTGTAGAAAAAAATTTCCTAATACTTATCGACTCAATTTTTTATCAAGAATAGCGCTATATGGTTAGTAGGCGGTATTTAAGAAATATCCTATATATAAATCATTGGATATAATTACACATATGAGCAATTTTTTTTTTAACATTTTCCAAACTTGATTTTGCTAAAGAGAAAATATGCGAAAATTATCCTTTTGATTATTCTTTACGTTTTTTCATTATTTTTTTTATACTAAACGGTATACTTACAAAAGAAAGAAGAATGTATGGACATGTATGGATATATATTTTATATATAATTATTTATATTTAAACAAACAATGTATATTTATAGGACTCTCGAAAAACAAACAATAATAATAAAATATTAATAAACGGGCAATGAGAGCATTCACAGCGCAGTACTTGGGGAGCGCAATACATATAATATATTCTCAATATTTTTTGTATTATGTGTTACTTATATGGGTGTTACTTATATAAAAAAAATTTCAAGAAAGAAAACCACTATTTTAACGAAAAAATGCCGGCAGTCTAAAAGTTAAAGAGAAAATTCGTTTTGTCGATTTTCAATTTTATCCCTATAATTCCCATAAATTTTTCAGATATAATATTTTGCGAAATTCATTCTTGCATCGCTGCTAACTTATGGTAAAAATCTCAACTAAATAAATGCAGGGGCAGCATATACATATTTATTTTCCCAGGATCTTTCGGCAGTGGTGCCAGATTCTAGCTCACGCTCACTTGCGCTACTGCTTGCTAATGCGTGATGGGGGAAGAATAGAAGTAGTTGCCGATGGTTACAGCAGCTGCTGCTGCTACAGCT